TTTTCAAGAACTCTTTGACATAACATATATATATATATATATGATGACATGATTGTCTCCCGGGAGGAGAGATTACATGATATTGTACGATCATACATATCCAAAGTCTCGCCATGGTGAATGATGCCTTTCCAACTCCTACCTCAACAGAGGGTCCCTCTAAATAAATTGTAACGAATTGTGAACAGGTCTGAGACCTCTGCATAGCTCGGGGGTTTAAGTCTGCGGCTGAAAAAAGAGTCGTGAAAAGACTGCTTGAGATGCCAATGACGCATCCATCTGATGTTCAAGCACATATATGTGTTTATTATAGTGGATCGAGTGTAGATGGCACAATCCCAAAAAGCTCGGTGGTTTATATGGACCACATCCAAAAAAGAAACATCTTGGGGCTTGTGCCATCTACTCTGAAACCATCATATGTGTGTGAATTTGTTAGCTACTAGTAACAGGTGCATCGCTACTAGTAACAAGTGCCTTACTAGTAGTAGCAAGAAGCTATTAGAAACAAGTGCATCGCGTACGATCTGAAGGCGGCCTCGCAGCCCGGTGCAAGACTTGGGGCCTCGGTCCACGGGTGCGACGGCTGAGAGTAGACTTGGTGTCATATGTTTAGTGTATACATGACGTTTCAAGGTCGCCATGTGTGCTCTGAAAACTGGAAGTGGGCACCATAAAGCTGGAACTCAGGCAAGGAAGCATCGGTTTGCAAACTTGTTTGATCAAGTCCCTTGGAGAACAAAAGACAAAAATGCTGGGTTACATTTTACAAGAAGTGTATATATATAGTTGTAGAGGTAGTAGTCAAATTCCATGTTGTTTTTTGCTTTACTGATATATTATATAGTTAAGATATAGGAAGGATCCCAGCAGAGTCACGAGCTTGAATCCCAAATGCAAAAGTTGTTTCAGCTGATGCAACACTGGCAACCTGAATTAGCTTAGGAAGTTGCAGTTGATACTTACATAACATATAGACAAGTTGCCGTCTCCTGTCCGGCTTTCTGCCAGGCCCACTTCTCTAATCGCTGACAAGAAAGAAACTTCAAAGGACTAAAAACCTCATTAGCCCTAACACCTTTCATTCTCGATCTGCGTAGCATTACGTTGCTCTGAAGTTCTGGGCACCCCAGCGCACAAGCTGAGGTGACTCGCACACCTCTTTCAGCTGACCTGAGTTTGTGGCACCACGCCCATTGGTGTGTGCGTTTGATCCATTGAGTTGGGTCTGGATCAAAGCATCTATCAAGGAACATCAATGGCGGTGAGAAACCAAAACTCAAAGTCGAAGTGAGATTTCTACCAACGGACGTTCCTTGTAGGCCTCCCCAGAGTTCCCTTTTGGCAAACAGTTCCGGCCAGCTCTGTGATCTACAAAAGCCACAGTTTGGAATATGATCCGCAACATGGAAAGTGTGTCAAAAGGAGCCACTACAAGTCACTCGTGGGATTACCCTTCCCTCAAGCACCCCAGGCCCCAGGACCTTCAAACGGAAGGATTTGCAGCTTCAGGCCCGACTTCATACTGAGTGAATGATGAGTGATTTCCCTAGCCCATCTTCAGTAAGATCAGGTTTCCCATACAGTCGAGCTTGATGTGAAAAGGTCGTGGGGTTCGATAAAGGCATGGTCCCTTCAGAACCCATGACCTTATTCAAGGTCAACGAAGTGGTTCAATGAGATTCAACCCAAGCCCACCAACCCAAACACTCTTGGGAGTCTGCCATTGATTTCCAAGAGCTTCTGTCGCACTGCCTGGTGCCGAATGTTCAGCGAGAAGAAACGCTTGGAAAGGCGACCGGGAGCTGGGACTGCAACTCCTGCAACCTCTGCAACCCCAGTACCAAAAGCCTGGGGCGCAGCAACCCCTGTGCCACTGGACACTGGAAGCGCTGACTCCTTCCACTAAGCAGCGTGCTGGAGAAAATGCTCGGGTCTCGACCACTCACCAGAAGTCCCGCCACAGAACAACCTGGAAACCCAAACAACCAGAAACCAATGAAGACATGGATGTTTCCCCAAACAACCGCTTGTTATGGAAAGGATCTTAATTGATATACTGGTTCTTTTGGTTCCAGAAGCATAATATACGTATTATATTATATATGTGATGCTTTTGGCATTTGGCATCCCTGCTTCTATATATAGTATAGATCGAGTCTGGGGGATTGGAACATTGAAGTCTTTCCTCTGGATGTAGGGAAACCGTGGAAAATGCTCATAGTATAATATATATATATGAATATGATGCACGATCATCCAGTACATGTATATATATATAGAGCCCGCATGCAAGTCTATGACATTGTATGCCTAATTACTATATGCTTCTTAACTCTGCCTGCCACAGCCTAGCCATGCCTAGCCTAGTCGTAAGTGCCTGTCATCGTGTCTGTGCTGTCAAGCCCGCCTCAGGCAAGGAAAGGGCCATGTCGCACCTTCGCCGACCGTGCGCTCAAAGCAGCACAAGCCATAAATCAATATAACAAAAAAAACATACAAATATAAATCGGAATTTGTTGGGACATTTTCAGGTTTTACACCGATGAGCGATGTCTTCAACAACTTCCGGCACCCCGACCTCTGCAGCTGAAGGCGTGGCCGAACGGCCGAACGGCGTGCTGCAGGGAGGTCCCAGTCTCTTTGCGGTGAAGGCTGAGAAGGCACAAAGTAGTTAAACTCTGGTTAAATGTTTCATAATACTTGCCGCATCTTGCTGCATGCCTCATGCCTTGTCTCCCCAAAAGCGGGTGCAATGTCATCTGTTTGCTGCTGCTGCCGAACATCTATCAAACATGCCCTTCTGAGGGATCTCAAGGTATCTCCGTCTTCATCTGGAGCTATGTCGCGATCACAAACCCCCGTGGAGCTACGTGATCTCATCTCCGCATGGACTTGATTGACAGTGCCTACTGCGAGCAATCCGGTTTCGGCGTGAGCAATCCGGTTTCGGCACCGCACCACGTGGAAACCTTTACGGTGCAAGTCCAAACAGGTTGACCACAGCAAAGCAGGTCAGCACAGCTGAAGAAGGGTTGTAAAACACGACATCATGCAATATTTGCATGTGCATACGCAAATCACAACTGGGTGCATCACTGTTCTTTGAAAACAAAGGCGACCTCTTGTAAGAACTCCACCACGTCTTTGTTTCCTTGACAAGATCCAGTTTAGAACCACTTTGGCATTCGTGCCCAGGGATGCCCAGAGCTATGGTTCATCGGGGGTTGCTGCAGCGACCTGCCAAACTTGCGTTACTTGCTGTGAAGTGGCCTGGGCAACGTGATTCTGCACTGACAAAATAAGATAAATTTATATCTAAATAGCTGTGAAAAACGCTGCATGCAATGATGACACTACCGTCCCATGGCTAACAAATGGATGGATATTTTTCCGGTAATTATTTTAAGTGTTTTTCCGGACATGTTTTTTCACGTTTTTTCCCGTACTGTTTTTGCTTTTGCTTCTGCTGGGAGTGCTTTGCAAGCACTAGGAGCAGCAAACGGGGCAGGGGACGAAGCACCAAAGCCAGCGTGACAGTGACAAAGGGAGGGAACAGAAAAGGTATTCCACTTACTAGGGACTTCTTTGCAGTTGTCTTTAGCTTCCTGGTTTCGGGTTTCTTTGGGCTCGGTTTCTTGTCTCTGGGGTTTCTTTAGACGTCCTTCCGGAAAAGGCATCCCACTTAACGAAGGAGAAGTAGGAGTGAGGAAAGAGGAGAGAGGAACTTTTATAGGGACTTTTCTGCGGTTGTCTTTGGGTTTCAGTGGTTTCGGGTTTCTTTGGGCTAAGCAAAGTAGAAATCCACCTTTGTGGCAGCGTCAACGCAACATAGTAGTTGTGGTAACTGTGGTAAGACTTGTAGCGGGGTGGTCTGAGTGATAGAGGTATTGGAAATAGTAGGGGTGGTGGACGGTAGTGGGAACTATTTAAAAGAAAGCGGGAGGGGGTGCGGGGGAGGGCGCAGTGCCCCCCCGCAATGAAATCAAATATAGACAGCGCTGGGCTGCTTCGTTTCTTGATTGGTGTAATTGGGTGTCAAAGCTCAAGGTGAAGGTCTTATCATCCAACTTTGTGGCAGTGTCAATGCAAAGAAGATAGTCAGCAGAAGCAAAAGCAGAAGCAAAGGCAAAGCAACAAAGCAAAAGCAGAAGGAAAAGCACAAAGCAAAAGCAAAAAGCAAAAGCAAATGCAAAAGCAAAAGCCAAAAGCAAAAAGAAAAAACAGAAGCAAAAGCAAAAAGCCAAAAGCAAAAGCAGTAGGGGAAAAAAACGCGCAAAAAAAAACGGAAAACAACCTGGAAAGAAATCGGAAAAATAGGGGTTCCCTAACAAATTCCATCGGTGGAGTTTATCAGCAACAAAGGGGTTGTCAAGCACAAGGAATGTCAGCACATCACCCCTTGTGCGCCTCTGAACAACACTTGACCAATGGTATGTCCCATATGTCCTACGACTTTTCAGTCTGGAAACTCTGGTGGTTGAGAGGGCTAATCCAAGGTTGAAGGACTGCGAGCCCTACAAACCCATCAGTTTGTTGATAGTGGTTGTTCTATTGTTGACCACCGTTCTCCAAACAGTTGGCACTTTTCCGCTCGCAAGGCTGGCGGCTTTTGCGAGGCACATTCCTCCAGATTTGCATGGAGAGATCTGGAGAGGACAACCTGTCGCCGATTTTGCGAAACAGCCCACTCCTGGTGTCCCCGATGGGATGTTTCCATTGGCACATACGGAAGACATCGGACATCGATGTGCGACTGCGTGACACGTGACACAAGAGTTCATGTCGATGTGTCCTGCCCTAAAAATTCGACTAACACCTGCTTCGGACTGGATGGCTGATCAATTTGTACATCAGCAAAGTCTCGGGTCCATGTTGGACCTCAGAAACTGAATCTAGCCGCCCAGCTAAGCCAAGCATAGCTGAGCTGCGTAGCACCAATACATGCCAACCAATTATATTGACACTCATGACTAGAGCTCTTTTGCCTTTTCAGACTCCGGCAGCCTTCGGCCATCTTTTGGCTTAACACGCCTTTTCTCAGTCAGCCCTGGGATGCCGAGTTTTGCCTTCAACCTTGGGAAGCATGCAGGTGCCCGTGCTTGCCACCGGTGTTTGTTTGTTGTTGGTCACATGCAAGTGTTCAAGCCGAAGATTCAGGGTTCCGTAATATATACAGTATGTATATATTAAATATTTACTTGTGTATATATATATATATGGGCTAATAGGGGTCATATGGGATCATCCAAAAAATTGCAGTTTTCAGCAGCCCAAAAGCTGTGGCAAGCATTGATATTTAGATAAACAAATTAAGATCAATTAAGTATGTCAAACAATAAAACATGTTGTTGCAAACTCTTTCCAGCCCCTCCACTCACGTCCATCCCTTCCATCTCCATCCCATCTTTTCTGCGCGATGGCGTGGAATGGCCCTGCATGGCGCCATGTGATCGCCCTGGGCGGGAAGCTCCGGCGGTTTCTGAGATGAAGGTGGAGCATGCTAGCCTGTTCCAAACTACGAACTCCGGAATGGTCCACACCAGGGGAGGTAAGGTAGCAGCTTGGTTAGATTGGGGTGTTGAAGCCACCCGCGGCTTTTAAAATCATCTCCCAAAGGCATTGGAGACCTCGTACCTTGTAGGTTTGGCGCCCACACAGCCATCCCTATAAGGTCTTGTGACAGGCAATGCATGGGCCAGGTTCTCGGGCAAAACCATATTAAAAGCACCAGCACCAGCAAACGTCATAAACATTCATAAAGGGGCTTTCCATCCCATGCGCATCAGCAATGCATGCAATTCACGCACATCAGTTGTAAGGATTTGAAGAGCACATTGAACCAATTCCAAAACCCACGCCTTAGCGCAGTTGCTGAAGCAGCTGGATCTGCTACCCTTCCACGTGCGTGGTCAGGCAAAGTGCCAACTTGATAAGGTCCTTGTCATCAGCAACGGTGACATCACACAGCTAGCACAAATTTAGATCGCCGGTAGGGCACTATCACCTGTGAGAACTTCTCTTCCGGTCTGTCTGTCCCTGCTCCAAAGAAAGGCTCAATTTGGAATGTAAAATGCCTTTTGCTATTGACACCTGCCATTTTGCCACATGACATTGGAACCACACTCGACAAACCCGCATACAATGGTCATTTGGCTGTCCTGTTTCTCTTGAATTAAAGCATTGCAAACATAACAGGTACATTTTCCACGCTTCCAAGCATCGTAGGAAACTCTCTGCCGTTCTTCCTCAGCAACATGTTGAGGCGATGAAGTACATTTCTAGAGGAGCATTGATCAAACTTGTGTCAGGTAAGCTGTGTCGGTGCTTTCTCGCCACTGTCGCGGCACAGCCCTTCTTGAACGTACAAACGGTCAAAAAAAAAGGCATGTAGTAGTCCAAACAAGCTTTCGCAACTACGCAACTACATTCACAACAACAAATGCAAATGTCACTTTCGTCTAGCTTTCTCAAGGCTTTTGCCCCCTTGACATGGGTTTTTAATTTGGCCATTGCCCGACATGAACCTCATCTAAATTCCATTAAGTATACTTGAGGGTTTTGGATGCTGCTCAGTTGGATTGGACCTGACCAACATGGTGCAATACCTGGAACGATCAAGACAGAACTCGAACCATGAGGGTTCCCACACCACTGACATCCACTGACACATGCCACACAGCCAGTCCTCTTCCCATCTTATTGAGGGACTCTGCCACACTCCCGTTTGTTCTTCACATTGTCTTCGTTGGAGCTTAATTTGTTGCCACTGCAATCTGGCAAGCATCATCCATCTCTATAACTCTACAAGATGCAACCAGCACCTCACGCGCACTTCTGGCGCACCTGCCTCGGCACTTTTGTGTCCTCATTCCGGTTCGTTTTTTTCCGTGAGCTTTTCCTGGCGCCGTGCACGCTGCTTCTCCCCTTACCAGCAGCCAAGCCTCCGTCAAAGGATGCGGATCTGTCTGCTTCTCAAGGGCCGCAGTGTACGCAGCAACCATGGTATCTCGGAGGGCCATTTCCATGAGCCTGCCAAGCTTCGAATTCGGCCTATGCCGTCCCCGGGTTGAAAGCATATTATAGTATAGCTCATCCCCTTTGCAATGGGACATTTAACTGCAAAACTGAAATGGGCCTGCTATATTTTATATAGTATACATATAAAACATAAATGTTATATATATATAGAGGTATATACATATACCGCATCATACCGCTTTCCATGTTCTGAGCATGTCTTGCAGTAGGTATGCCATGTCCGTTGGCCAGACTAGGCAGCTGCGAATCACAGCTCGCATCCCAACTTTCAAATGTCGAAGCTGGTGGAGTCTCGTAGGACAAGGACAAGGGAATCACACCCCAGCCAAAAGGACTGAACTACTAACTGTCAGTGGTCGGTATACAGAACACCGTTGCTTTGTCCAGATTCTTTAGGGGTATCCCATTCATTGTTTTTCGGCATTTTCAGTTCCTGAAGAAGGCACCCGCCCTCTTCAGATTTGATTCGACCGATGTCAAAGGACCAACAAAATTCAACGCTTAAACCTCGATGAGCCTCTGGAAAAACCATGCTGGCTTTGAATAGCAAAAAGGGATTGTGCACTTCCATATTTGCTGAGGGAGGGTGCACACATAATTCCTATTTTGTGAGTTTCACCCACACACATGCTCCTCTTAAGGCTCGGTGCTTTCTCAAGAACCAGGTAACCAGTGATGCTGAACATCTCTGCATGGAATCCCTGAGCCATCCGAAACCCCGTCTTGCTTGTATGCCACTATAATGCACCTGCGGAGCCAAAAAGGAACTCTTAATGACATATAAACTCTTCCGTCTCCTCAGTTCTCTCACACCACATCAGGAAGAACTGCCACTCTTCGCTCTCGTGTGGCGTCGGCGCGGGCGCCCAGGTGCGCGCCTGTGTGACTCCGGCGCCTTGGCGTTGGCCACTCCGGTGCTCGCGAAGTCGCTCCCCGCGAGGACCTCGGTGCGGTGCGACCGAACCCGCGAGGACCTCGGTGGATGAATCAAGTGGTTTTCACGGTGGGGGTTACAGTATATAGGTGGTGTTCAAGCCGGTGCCAGCACCTGGTAGTTTTTGAATGACCTGGTGGCATTTAGGCAAAGTTTAGACCCAGGGACCCCAAGATTGTGCATTAGGACCCTCGTGTTTTGGGGGATCAAGTCATCTTCATCGATTTCTTCTCAATGAGTCAACTTGTTGTTTTCCTTGAGGGTGGGGTCCTCTATGGCTATAGATGTTTTGCACTCCATTCACCGATGAAGACTCCCCCGCCGAAGCTGCGGTTTTGCATCACGGTGAAGGACCCCGTCGACCTTTCTTTCGGTGTTGCACTGAAGGCCCAGTCTCATGGTGGACAGACTCAGAACATCTCAGAACCCAGTTTTTAACAAGGAGATGAAGCAAACAGGGTCTCCTAGTTGGTTGGGGGAAGTTTTCCTCCAGTCAGTGTAGCCTTCCTTTTGTGAAGCGCTTGTGCATCATGACCAGCTGCCATCTTCATCCCCATGGATTCTTCAAAGGCCAGGATGGCATCAAAGCCTCAGAGTGAGCGAATGGTCACTCTGAGTCAATGGCCACAAACAGAAACACATGTTGCCCCCCCCACCCACACACACACACACACACGTGCTTAGAAATGATAGTCTGGTAAGTCTGGTAGAGAAAAAGACCTGTCTAGCCTAAAATACTGAAAACATCTGAAAAAACACAATGAATGCGCACTAAACCTTCCAACACCTTTGAAGGTGGGGTGTTCTTTGCCCAGCTATGTTCAGCTCGTGGCCCGTGTTTGAGAGCCCGAAGCTCATGGCAACGACTATACATGGGTTGCGTCTCTCTCTCTCTCTCTTTTTGAACGTCTCAACCTAAGCACAATTCCAACCGGTGCAGTACTGATGATGATACGGTCAATCCTTGTCCAACTCATTACAGTAGCTATCATTCACCCTACTGATTCGAAACAGTATGCCTAAGCAGCAGCATCCTAGCGCGCGCACACAATCAAACATATATACAGTATCATAATAAAGTATATAGCGCGCTGGGGGAAACAAAACAACCTGAGAGTAAAGCGAGACAAAAAGGGAGAGAGAGGGAGAGAGAGAGAGAGAGCAACCATGTTCCATCTGGTAAAAGTAAGGAATATATGCCATGTCAACTGCCACGTCACAATTTCTATGAGCAAATCTCAAAGCCAGTCGCAGGAAGTGACTTCCACTGGAAATCCTTCAAAGACCGCTCACCATAGCATAGCCATGGGGCTGTCGAGAAAGCTGCTCTGACTCAGGGCCTGTGGCGCGTGGCATCCAAAACCGGTTTTCGGGAAAGCATTCCTTTAGCAGCATTCAACAAAACCACTGCACCACCTCTCACAGAGTCGAGTATACAAGTGACCCAAGTAAGTATATAGTATATATATATATACCATTATATACCCCACGATCTATCATCAACGTTTGATTGCAAATATTTTGAAGATCCAGCTGACCCAATCACATGCAAACGCGGGCAGTATCCTCCAACCATGATCGCACTGTGAATCCACCGCGCGAACCGTATCAGTCATTGGAATTGTATGGAATTGTTTGGGCGTCCAATGGTGTGTCCATAGCCACAACCAACTGCTAACATCTAGTAACATACCTAACATGGATCAGTCCGTTGCTATGCATGATTGGTGGGGGTGGGTCCATTGCTTCACCTTTTGCCTCGACAGGTGGGCTCGGCCGGGAGCGCCTCAGGCACAAAGTTCTGTCGGGTGAAGGCCATGTCGAAGTCCAAAGCGGCCAGGAATGTTTTGGCACCTCGTCGTGCACCCTCCAGAAAACGATATGGACCATGGACCCTGACAACTTGCCAACGGGTTGCTGGAAGATTGTCTTCCTCTACCCAACCTGTGGCTTTCAGGGTTTTCAGGGTCCATGTCTGTGAGTCTTCCCGGGCGTACAACATGGCATCCCGTCGTTTACACCCGCTCCCGGCGGCAACAAACATCGCGTGAACAACTCTTCAGCCTGGACTCGTATACTGGAGATGACCCAGGTATTGCTAGTCACTTGACGACCAAATGCATCGGAGTCATAGGAGTCCATGGACCCTGTGTTCTCGTGCTCAGCATGTGCTAGCATCCCTTTTCGCGATGCGAAAGGCTTGCGGGACAAAAATCATGTTGAATGTGTTCTAGCAGGGTCATGGCCACTTCACTGGGCCGGGTCATGTGACTCCCTTCTCATTACAGGATCAACAAAATCAACAGAGATCAACTGAGATCCCAAACATCATGGCATTCCCCAGCCACAATAAACATTCATGTCATGAACTGGTATAGCAGCCACATCAGTGCACAAATGGAAAGTCCATCCCAAAGATGCCACCCGTTTCCGATGCCTCACGCCCACACCACCAAGCTCAGTCACCACCACTGAGACCACAGGGTCCTTTCACCACGAAATTGTTGATGTGGGCATTGCAGTGAATTCCCATGCCTCGGCGGGACTTCAAAGCCTACTTCGGTCGACCTGAGAACCAGCGAAAGGACTCGACTGTCTAGACGATTGGTTTGTCGAAGAATATCACCGAGATTGCATACGTGCTTGATCGTGCTTGTGTATCTGTGTTTGCTTTCGTTTGAGAACAAACGTATGATATTAAATGATAGTAACAACTTACAATTGGTGCTCATTTAGCATTCATTTAGCATCATTTAGTATTATCGTGGGTGCACCATCTGAGATCAACGGTACATCAGCAGCTTTTCATGGTGTACTCAATGTTTCACCACCACGGACCGTGCCAAACTCTCCGCAGCCGTGCCAAACCTCACAAAAGCTGGGCTGCTGTCTGCATAGGTTCCCCAAGAGATCTCAGCGTCATGTAGGGCTCGCAATGTTTCACCGCACTCCCAGCCTAAGGCCACACCGATCCAAACACGAAGGGGTAGGGTGGAAAAAAAGGAACAAGCAGTTTCGCAGTTGTTCCCCTACAATGCGTTTGTTTTCGATCTTGGGATGAGGGTATATGATGGTTCTACATGACTTCTTAAAGTCCGCTAAAGGGTGACCATGTGCATTCTGCAGCACCCACGTGAGTTCCTTCTACGTAAGAGGGGGGCAACGAGGGGTACCTCTGTCCAAAATCATCCGTGCTATCAGAACCACCTCACTTTGAGAGAATCAAATACCTCAATTCCAAGACATTCAGCATCTGAGATCACCAGCTCCAAGTCCAAGCACATCCAAGCCACCTAGGCGCCAAGCCAACCACAGCAGGCTGGAGGCCTCGACCTTTTCACGGAGATCGTCCCAAAGGCCCTGGAAGGCCTGGGGTACCTGAGTTGTTTCAGGGGTGATTCGTGACAAAAAACAAAACGATTTTTCCATCGAGTTCCTCAACCCCCCAAATCGACAAAGAAGTGAATGAATCCCCAAACGGAGGCATCAAAGGAGGTAAACGGCCAACAGGAGCAGCTGTTGGACACACTGGCTGGCGATTCTTCTCTCCCTATTTGCCTTCAATTCTCCCCCCCCCAAGCAATAAGGAAAACACATCGGAAGGATTTCTCACCGAATTGCTTGATCATCCCCGCCACCGAGGCACGGCCGGCTCCAGCTCTGACGAGCTGGGTGGCTGCCTTCCGTCCAGGGCCACGTCCACGCAGTCGGCCGTGGGCAAAGCGCAGCTCACGAGGTCACACGTCTCTAAGAGCTCAGACTCGTCACTCCCACGACCTCGGAACTCGGCCCGAACTCGGAACTCGGCCCGAGTAAAGGGCCAGCGCACCCTTGACAAAGGGTGTTGGGCATCATCTTGGTAACCTGGTATCTGCAGGCTTGATTGCTGGTGCCCATTGGTGGCCTTCCCTTCCCCTGTTGAGGTGATTTGAGGATTGGATGGGGGGGGGTTTGAGTCTGTGACATTGATTTTGGACATTTGGAGCAACTCTGAATTGACACAAACACCTCATCTACAGCAGGTTCTACGTAGATAACACAGCCCATAATACTGCCGATTGTTTCGGGGTGTTTGGGAGGAAAAGTCGTTGATCAAGAAAACGACCTTGGACATGGTTCGTTGTGTAATATACTAGCTCCAATCTTTCACCCAGGATACTTTCAACTATCAGTCGGACTTGGGAAACTAATTATGGCAAAGAAAGCAAAAAACATTCTGAGCAAGCAAGGGAACCCCGAAGAATGCACTGCCTTAGCCAAGAAGCCAGGTTTTAGCCCAGGCAAGGCCCGCACAAAGTAAGCAACCTGACCTTGATTGTCCTATCCTATCTGTTCCAAAATTGAATGTCGTGCATTTCCCACATCCCGCTTTGATTTCGATCTGCATTTCCATGCTTTTCATGTCCATGATGTACCTGGCCTCAGGCGTTGCGAACGCCATCAACGCCTTCAACTGCATGCGTGCGGGGCCCTGACCCCCCCAGGCGAGTCCGAACGGGTCGAGGCCGAGACTGGTGCTCGAACGGGCCAACCGAGCTCGAAACGCCCAGATGCGTGAGCTCCTTCTCCATGGGCTCGAGCACATGTGGCAGCAGTGCCAAAATTCCACCAATCAAGTGGTCTCCCAAGCCTTGGGTCTGGAAATGGTCTGGAGCGGTCTACCACGTGTTTCATGGGGAAATCTGGACATGGACCCAACAAGCTCCTACCTGACCTATGCTGCACGTGACTCACGTCTCACGTGACCTTCTGTGCGAAAACAGGGCCCTGGTGTATGGACAAATCAGCTGCTCTGTAAGAGATTTTGTAAGCAGGGGAGGGTCTACAAAATAGCATGCTAACTATACTGCTGATCATCACTTGTCTTTGAGTCTTAACACTCGCCCCCATTGATGTGCTATCCAGGCTTCACCATGCAGCAACAGCACGCTTCAGACAAAGTCTCTACACTCTACAGTAGTACTTGGTTGGGCCAGGCTGCGCGCGTTGCCCGAGGTCTGAAAGACGCCGCAGTACCGATCGATCTCTGGTAAGGGCCAACTAGGCTCTGGCCGATACCAATAGCAGCCCAACGACCTCAGATGTGCACAAGACGTGCATTGATTGAGTTGCCCCCCAACTAGGCCACCACGGGGCCTTGCAAAGCAGAAGCTCTAGCTACACGCGGGGGCCGCGGGGGGCAACATGTGCCAGAATAAGCACCTCGAGCTGGCTCAAAGCAGCCACCCTGGGCAGGATCAATGAGATTTCTTGGCCGTAAAGGTGTTCATAATAATGGATACAACTTACAACTATGAATATGTAATATTTGTCTATAATATGTCAATGTGTATATATATATATGTGTGTGTGTATATCTATAGTATATACGCACCCTCATGAAGAACTTAAACACACCTGACATTTGCCCCAAACATGATCCAGTCAGATGCCCCACTCGGTTTCAAATCCCATGTTGTGCCATGTTTTCTCCACAGCATACACTGCAAACCAGCGGCTGATTGGCACAGTCAAGCCCCGCTTTCTGTAGAACTTCGGCGACCTGAGGCTCAGCCGTTGAGGCTTGGCGTGTGTGTTGTAAACATACTGTGCGTCGCATCCTTTTCGATGGAGAACCCAGAATAAGTGCCTATTTGCAATACATTTCCAAGCCATCCCAGTAACAGGTGCCTTACTAGTAGTAACAAGAAACTATTAGGAACAAGTGCCACGCTAGTAGTAACAGGCGCCTTACTAGTAGTAACAAGACCAAGTCGCCAAATCGTTCATCCGGACTTCAGTGTAAGCTGTGTGCTTGAAGCACGATCCCCGGATCGACGCTTCCTTGGCACTGAGTCGTCGCTGGTGGCCAGTACAAATGCCGTTGTGACGCTGACATGTGCTTTTTGCTTGTTGGGACTGGCCCCTGGAACTTTCGGAGATTCCTACAACTTTCTGAGATAGATCAATATAGGACAGCCTGTCACTAGAACCCATCTATCTACTCCAGCTCATCCCCCATAATCATGCGATGTATCAGATCACCGAGCATCGCCCTTGTTGCCCACCTTCGCCATTGGAAAGCCTTCATCGCGATTGCCACAGCCCTTCAAGCGGAACCACTGGCCTTTGACCTTCACCAAAGCCGAGCGAACTCCAGAGGCCAAGCCACCTCAGTTTCGCCACAAAACAGTCGCAGGACATCAAAGGTGCAATATCCTTCAACCACTGGGAAGCCATGGAGAAACTTGTTGTCAGCTGTAAATGAGCTTTTGAAAAACGGTACCTTTGGTGGCTTGCAGTTTTGGTGCACAGTCGTGCCTTTTGCAGGGGCCTGCCCCCGCTGTCACCATTCTGCTGAGGGAGGTGCCACACTTACAGCATAGAATGAGCTAACCGGTTACCAACACCATTGGCCTTGCACCCCCTAGAAGCAAGGGTTTCGTTTTGACGTCGACGTGTCCCCGCTTCAAAGAAAACAAGATGGAACCCACGAACCCGAATGCAAACACGTTCAAAAAGCTACATATGTCCAAATGACACTCTTGTAGGACACTCTTGTGGGACACTCTTGTGGGACACTCTTGTGGGACACTCTTGTGGGATACTCCTGTAGGACACTCTTGTGGGACACTC